GAGAGGGAAGCGCGCTTCGGAACCACCCATATCCAATACCTCCTCGGTGACGGGGGGTACAAGGATTTCCAGAAACTAGTGGAGGAGACAAGCCCATACGGCCCCCCCCCTACAGAAACAGACACGTAAAACAGATTGATACTTCCCCATTTCCTTTGTCACATTGAAACGTAGCGAACGCCCGATCTGAACTCGGCGGCTCCTACCGTCCTAGTGCCCAGATGAGGACTTATGTAACTAGCTTACTTAGTGGACGTTAATAATAAAACAAACAAACAAACAATCGCTGGTGGGACTTCATTAAATGGCAGGTGGACAACCGAGACATCGAGGTTGGAGATTATGGATTCCCCGATTACCTGGAGGCACGTAGGCGTAAAGGCTTGCGAGAATACTATCCAGGGTCTGGTCCCGAGTATGACGAGTCAACCGCACGACTGTGGGAGATGAAACGGAAGTACCGCGAAGTCCCTGGTGGAAGTTTTTCGGCGTACCAAGAAGCAGTCAAGAAACGTCTGGCATGTCACAACTTCACTCGGGAGTTTCGATTGGAAGCCGACCCGCGTCAACAAGATGCCTGGACAACATGGGTTGAGTATCTTAACTTCGAATACTTTGAGAGAGACAGGCTCGCTGCTTTGTTAATGAGGTTGGAACAAGATTACATCAATGCCTGGGATAAATTCTTGGTTGTGGATTCGTCGAGATTTGATGCTTTCGGAAGGCCTCTAGCCGAACCAGAAGATAACTTTGGGGCCCTACAACAGCGGGTAGACATTTTCATCCGAGATACTTACCCGTATCGCAGCAAAGAACCCTTTTTTCGCCACCAGCGTGTCTTGACGCGATGGATCCTTGAGCAGTTGGGTTTAATCGAGGCTGAGACCAAGCAACAACGTACAGCTAAAGACTGTGGCCAAACCAAGTTTCCGTCCAGCAAGAAAAGAAAACAAGCTGAGGATGAGGAAGTTGATGATGAAGAAAGCGGACGCAGCCTCAAGAGATCGAAACAAGACGGTGCCTCAGGTCAAAACCCTACTCAACAACTAGCTCGAGGAAGACCAAAGAATTTCACTAAAGCAAGGGCATCTAAAAGGGGCGCACGAAAATCCCGTCTGCCTGGCCAACCAGCCAGCTCACAGAAAAATACAAACTTGGACTCTCAGAAAAGCCAGTCTTCGAAACGAAGATCGTGCGCTGAGGCTATGGTTCTACCATCGCCGATTCGGCGTCGATCGCAACGGTTGCAAGCTCGGTTGCAGGAACGTTATAGTCAAGTTGATCGCCGTGCACGAGGAGTGATAGCAGAGTTTGAGATGTAATCTATTTGACTAGGGTAATAAGAGCATTTTATTGTTTTCTTAAATTCACCTGCTCTATTTCACGAAGCCTCCAAATTTAGAACTAAACCTAGGGTCAGTGTCTCAGCAGTTTGTTTCTCTCGAATAAATGCAAGGTCTTCTCTGGGGTATTTTGTATAGCGGGAACAGCCTTTGTGCTTGCGGCCAGAATCAGGCGCATTGGCTGGAAAGTGTCCATTCGCATAATAAAGTAAGCAAAGGGGGAAAAAAGAAAAAAGAAAAAAAATATTAACACGATTCGAACTTGCAACCTCTGCAAAAAAAGAAAAACCGGATTACCTCCTCCGAAGAGCGAGGTAATACACCCCTCTCACCTGGATTGGGAGCTGGGTGCTCCGGTGATTGATGGTGAATTATTCTTTATTATAAGGGATAGAGCGTAAGTCCCTGATGCATAAACAATCCATTCTGTTACAACCAAATAGCTGCAGAGTAACCCACTGTCGAGTAGGTACTCCTTTAATTGGCTACGTTGTAAGGGAGGAACTGAGTATGGAACGACGTCCTGACAGATATCACGACTACGCTGAACAGACATACGCATAGCCATAATGGCGATAGTACTAGATAGCAAAACAACCACCCAGGGCTCTAACCTCCTATTTTATATAAATTGTAATGATGTTTCATAAGCTTTACTTCCGTGTGGCTACTACTACTACGTACCTTGGGTAATTGTTGGCAATACCTAGGTACTTACGGAAAATGTAGATGGCGATGTCGTGGAAGATGAGGAAGGAGCGCCTCGGGACTAGACTGCTCCCTGGACAGACATGATGGTGAAAAGTTTTCGCCCCCAGTTCGTAGATGATTTGTCTCAAGCATTGCGATCTTGTAGTTCGTTCGTTGTCAATTGAGCTACCTATGCACGATTCTCGTCGTTTGTCGTCTCCCTTCTGCTGGTGTAGAACCGCGCCGTGCCCCCTTTTGCTGTCGATCTCACTCTTCGGAGGAGATCACAGTTTTTTTCGCTGTTTCGCCCAGCTGCTCCTCGTCGGTTTTGTCGGCTTCCCGTCTGGTTGTACTCTTCGGAGACAACTTCAGTTCGGCCGTCTCGTCTCCTCTCAATTCGACTTCCTGCCGTCTGGTTATACCTTCGGAGATAACTTCAGTTTGGTATAATAGCCACCTCGCCGCCTCACCCCCTCAACATCAGACTACATTCTCCGGAAGTAGTCTCATCTTAAACCGTCTCGACGATAGACTAGACTCTACGGAGATAGTCTCATTTTACCCTTCTCCCTCACTTGTAAGTAATCGTCATCTCACTCTGTATAGTATGTGGTGTTAATGGATGACAGCATCAGTCATCATAATGTCTTCTAGACAGACAAGACGACAGACTCGGGCCTCCGTGCCGGCTGTCGAGGCTCCGGGTCTCAGTTTTAAGCAACGCAAGGGGCGACTAGCCTGGACATTCAACGCTGTGTCAAATGAAGGACTGATTGCGGGTATTTACGGTCTCCGGATTTCCCACGAAGCCCAATTGGATAAATGGAGGACATGGACGCAGGACAAACAAAGTCAAGTCCTCGAATTATTTCGGACAGGCCGGAGAACAAGTGCCATCGCCAATGAAATAGATAGTTATGACGCTGGGGACCTCTTCTATATCCAGCAAAAGAGCGAGTCGTCAATTCCCCGAAGAATCCGTTATGGCAACGCCTAGGAAACAGTACGCCATCCGGATTTCTTTAAAACGCTCTGCAATATCGCGCAACAGTTTGGCGTAACGCAGCAGGAATTTAAGTATTATCTCACAATTCCTGCACCTGAAGGGAATCGCCGAGTCTTCTACCCCTTTCATGCTTTCTCTAGGCCTCAAGCACTAGCGTTATCCTGGGACTGGGATCAAATGTTAGCAGTAAGCCAAAGGATGATTGGGAATATGAACGTTTGTAGGCTAGTTGATCGCCGTGCACGAGGAGTGAGAGCAGAGGTTGAGATATAATGTATTTGACTAGGGTAATAAGAGCATTTTAATGTTTTTTAAATTGACCTGCTTTATTTTATGAAGCTAATCTAATTTTAGTACTAAACCTGGGGTCTGCGTCTCAGCAGTTAGTTTCTCTCGTATGAAAGCTAGGCCTTGAGAATATAATTAGTTGCTGAGTTGATATGAAGTACTATTATTTATGAGATACCTGTGCCTACCTATGCACTTGGCCTACAGTTGCGCGTCAACAGGTCAGCTAGTACCAAGAATTGTCACATTAAACTGAGCCTCGGGCTGTCGAATGGCGACAATTTTGCCGGCGAAAGCGTTTTCGGCTTGGCATTACAAACAATATGTATTGACACTATGTAACTCTATGCCTAAGCAATCTTCAGGTAGCTTCTCGGCCTACCTACATACATAACTACCAAAAAAGAGTTGGAACTAAAGATGGCCTCGGCCGAGCGTTATGCAGCAGAGGGGCTAACAGACATGAGAATGAGACAAAGGCAGTGGCACGAGCAGCAGGCCTCCCGGGCAAGCAAAGGTCAGAAAAAGCGAGACCGCAAAATGAATAAGTGCATACATTTAGCAATATAGGCACCTAATTCTAAGTAGTAGTAGTTACTAGAGAAATATAGATATAGTAGTAGTTACTAGAGAGATATAGATATAGTAGTAGTTACTAGAGAAATATAGATATAGTAGTAGTTAAAAGAGAAATATAAATATAATAGCATTTACTAGAGACACATAGATATAATAGCAGTTACTAGAGAAATATAGATATAGTACTCCAAAGTAGATGCTTAAGAGTTAGGGTTTATAAGCGTATTATTGAAGGCGCGTGTGTTCGTAATCTTGTCAGTCTTGGTTTTTCTGTCCCCCGCTTGCCGGGATACCCCTGAAAATATAGCAAGAGAGTTATGAGGGCCAGGCACCCATGATTAGAGGATTAGAGGCGCTAGGTGGGTTGTGGAGCAGACAAGGCAGACTACCCCCTTAATCCAACTCCGAGTATTACAGTATAATCAGAGCGTCATAAGACTACCCCTCCTCTTCATCAAACCAAATTATACTGCTGGTCATACTACTCGCATCATCTTAAACTTGACATACCTGACCCCGGACATGTTATCACAACACTCGAGTTTTCAGTCCGAATGCCTGGACCAAGCCGGCTCTCTCTTTTTTACTCGCCTCCCGAGGGAAATCCGTGACCTTATCTACCAGCAGTACCTTGATGTCGATGCCATCACAGATGGAGTCGAAACGAACCAGCCCGAACACATGTTTCTCAATGAAGAACGACCTTACAAAGGCGATAGCATACCGCTTGAAGCTAGCTGCCAGAAAATATTGTCGGAAATGCGATGTGTGAGGCGGCTGCGGGAGGTGGCCATGACCTTCTACTCGCCTTGGAATTTCCGGCTCCAACTCGCAGTAAAAGGCCGTCTTGACTGGGCTTGCGTCCAGAAGATTCGCCTTCAACTCCGTAACGAAGACAGGTTCGACCTCAGAGGCGCAGAGTTCACTAAGAAAGCCCTTTTGCGGACGAGAGAGCTGAAGATTTTGTATATTGACTGCTCCGCATTCAACGACGCCTCTAACAGAGCAATTGAGCCCAATATCATTATCTCTAGCGCGGATTCCAGTTCCCAAGACGACGAAGATGAGGCGGGTGAGGAACTCTTTGCAAAATCGCATTGGATAGAGAGCTTGCTCGATGATTGTGGCAGGCAGCTGGAAAGGCTGGAAATGGTGGTACTTAGAGGCAAAGGCTGCTATCCAACGTTCTGGCCGCAGCAGGTCAGGCGGTTTGTCAATGACAATGTCGAGGTGATAGAGCTAGAGTAGATCTGTGTGCACATTGGCGGGGACGCGACACCGGACTTTCTTTATTCCCTAATAATTTCGATTAAGAAAAGTTTGGCTTTCGGCGCGCACCACCAGCCGCCCATCTATCATAATAGACCAAAATATTATCAGCAAGGATTTATTTCTTTGAAGGTAGTAAGTCAGATTTTTTATACATACCCTTAGGGGGGTTATATTTATAATCAGGAGGGTCAGTAAAGCTGCCTCTTATGACTCCAAATTCAGGTTTACAGAATTGTGTTTTTAGTAGTTAACAAACTTAACCAACCCCACGCTACGACGTTTGTCGCTCTTTTTGAGTTGAACATTGAAGAAAAACGGCAGCGTCTGCATTTAGGGGCAATTATTTTTCTTCATGCGCCGCTAAAGAGTGCTCATGATGGACACCAAAGATGGCAATGACAAATTATCTATATGGGACAGGATGTAAAATCCAAGTAATAACAGTAACTTGATTACAATGTAAGGACAGCATTTTGGTTAGAATTCATTTGGAAACCTGCAATCATGCTTCATGTGTATTGTGATGCTTGTCGCGTGAAGCTTGCGTTGGAATATATGCGATAATGTAAAATAAATACCAAATCATAAATTCACAGCACCTACTGTCACCAGGGTGCTTTCACCATACAGCCAAACGTGAAGAGCTGTCTTCATGTTTACAGTAAACGATACGCCAGCCCAGCCTGTGATACACGCCACAGTGACCAGTAAGTGGATGGGCAGCTAAGGGCCCAAGACTCTCGGGCTTTTCCAAGAGCGCCATGAGTAGCCGACGTCTGTCCCTTAGAGTCCAAACTCTGTATATAAAGTATAATTCATGCTCTTGTATAACACAAGTAGACTATTCATATAGATATGAGGCTTCATTACCTCTTCATTTACAATCTATTGTTAGAAAGCATTTACGAATCAGCATTGTCGGATCACGATGACTAATATTAAGAATCTTGATACAATTGCATCATTGGACTAGCATTTATACGTTAAGTGATGGCCCGTTATGATATTACAGAATGTTAAAGCTTGATTCGCAATCATCGCAAGATTTCTCCTCGTTACTCTTCCCTTTTACCAAGTAGCAACTTGGCGAAGACGTTACCGTAATTAACCAATAATTCTTAATTGATGGATATACTGTGCGACGTAATGGCTTACTCTAGGCGTTGATCAGTCGGCGACCATACGGCAGTGGCTTGGAGGGCTGAACCGCTAGACCTCGATCCAGAACCCGGAGCCTGCGAGGGCGGCTATTCCCATTTGCTGCTCACTTGGGGAGAGAAAGAACAAGCAAAATAAAACCGATAAGGGTGTCGGATGGTCCTTGCACTTCTGATAGCTCACATTGACCCATTACTTTTTTGCTCTTGATGGCAGGCCTGAGCTGAGCCGCCCTATTCAATCGGGAAAAAGAAGCGGAGGCTGTATCGTGGTGAGCTTTGTCGGCAGTTCTAGAACGTCTTAGCCTAAGTGTCGCATGTTGATAATAATGACATTGACTGGCTGTCAAGGTATACAGGGTATAATACGTAAGGCCAAACAGAACAGCATATCTTCTCTGTTAGTGGCTGATGCATTCTACGAGTTGTGAACTCTCTCATAGCTGGATGACGTTAGTTCTGCAGGGAGGAATTTCAGCTTTGAAAACAACTTTCAGCCGTTCTAGGGCAATAGCAAGACTGCAAGTCTAAACGGCACTTGTAAAGACAGGCTAAATCCTTCACAAGTCGATAGATTTCGGCTTGTAGACACCTCTTTGCTTCTTAAAACTTTCACCATGGCTAAACTATAATATAACCCTAAATAAAGCCCGACTTGGACATATTTTCACAAAAGACGACAGGTTTCATACACAGTCTACAAAGTGGCTTAGCATTATTGGCCTCCCTATGACGCTTGTCTTCGCCCTGCAGAAGGATTTCTGACATGCCGTCAATATATTGCCAATAGATTGTCTCACACATCTCCTCAGCCATTTTCGAGTTTCTGGCCAATAGACTCGCTGCATTGAACCATTGGTTACCTAGTAGGAGCATTGACCACTCATCCTTTGTACGCCTCCGTCATGTAAGTGGCAAATAGCCTTGTTTCGCTTTCACCGAGCGTCTCCACTCTCGTAAGGCTGCGGCTCAACGAAGATGCCAACATTCCATCCTAAAGTTTATGATCAAACTCATCAATTAGTACAAGAACTTTATTGCTTCAACTTCTTTTGTGCCAAAAAGTGAAGAATAATGAAATGGCTAGAGTCAAGAAACCAGTGAAGGACGAACGATATCATTGGTGCCCGCTGGGATCTCTAAATGTATAAAATTTAAGACATGGATAGGCGAATAGGAAGGATTGCTTATGAAGGATTCACCACAAGGCGAAGCAGTACACCGAATGACAACATAGATGATACACAAACACATATAAGAGGGTGTGAAGAGCCAGTCTCTAGCGCGAACATCACTTCTCTTCACTCATCTCATCTGCATCCCAAGAAAACAACTTCATCGTCTGCATTACACTATGAATCCCGATCCTACCTTTCAAGGCAGCCAGCTCAGGCCAGGAACCGCAGCCTATGACCAGGCAAACGACATATACGCCACGTCTACCTATGGAAAAGAGCGTAACATGAACCCTGGAGAAATTCTACAACCTACGTGTGTAGAAGACATCCAAGGTGTTGTTAGATATGCCAACAAAGTTGGTAAGCCAATTGCCATCAGGACTGGTGGTCATCAGTACAGTGGTGCTTCTTCAACTGGGCCCAATGGCATTCAGTTGGACTTGGAACTTACGTTCCGAGACCCGAAGAAGGACCTTGTCTTGATCCGCGATACCGAGAACGACAAGGTCTATATCAAAGCAAGCGTTAGCTGGGCTCTGGCTGAGGTTTATGACTTCCTCTTGGCGAATGGCGTCTTTATGCCGACAGGCCAATGCGTCACGGTTCATCTCGGAGGACATGTCCAGACAGGCGGCTACGGTATGCTAGCTAGATCCTTTGGACTTCTTGGAGACTACATCCGTGAGCTCGAAATCGTGGACCACAATGGCGAAGTGGTCACAGTGACCAAAGAGACGCAGCCCGACTTGTTCTTTGGTCTTCTCGGCGGCAGCCCCGGCAACATCGGAGTCTTGACGCACTTCAAAGTCGAAGTCCAAGATGACAAAAAGTACCAAGGCTCCAAGGGACTCTGGATGGCGTTTCACTACCGCCAAGACACCTTGAAGGAGCTCCTCGACCTCTTGGTGGAGAAAGCAGAAGACCCAAACTTCCCGCGCAGCTACGACTTCACCGTCAATGTTGTCAGTAGGGAGTCGAACCTTCTGGACCTTTTCCCCGGCTCAGAAGACGAACTCAAGGAGACACTGCCAGATAACATCCACGATGGCAAGAACAATATAGCTAATGTATTCAAGTTCAAGTATGCAGTCATTGTTGTATACGCCCAATGGGTCAATTTGGGGACCGATGAATTCTCTCCAGACCTCTTCAACCGCATCAAGCACGCCACGCACGATCTTTTCAAATTCTACAAAGAGACTCCGGAGGGTACCCCCATGTCCTACATTACATCCATGTGGCTCTTCAGAAGCCGACGAGAGTTCCCCTACCCTTACATTAAACGTACCAACACGACCAACTCGACCACGCTCTCCAAGACTGGTTGGTCCGACTGGTTCTCTGGGCGTATCGATGAGATTCTTTCCGTTAAGGGCAACGGTCTGTGGGTCTCGTCTCAATTGCAAGTTTATGGTGGAACAGACTCCATGTTCAGGAACAACGCAAACAACGGCACTGCTTATGGCTGGAGAGATGCCACTCTTAGCGGAACTTGGGACGTCTTTCATCAGGACAATTACGAGGGGGCTAAGAAATGGCAAGATGAAAACGACAAGGGGGCGGTTACTCACTTCAGTAAAGATGATCGCCGTGTTCTTTGGGGTTCTTATGGTGACTGGGATATGAAAAATGTCTGGCAGCATTATTACGACTCCCCAACCTACGACAAACTGCGACAGATTAGGAAGAAGGCTGATCCTAATGGCCTATTTACCGCTAATCCTTTCTGTGTAGAGGCAGCGCAATAAAAGCCGTGTTAATTTTGTAACTATTTAGTTGTCAATTGAACCATTTACCATATTTACCTCTTTCTAAAAGGCAGTGAACTTCAGGCCCAATTGTGTGATACAACTTGTCATTTTTGAGATCTACTTATAAATAATCTATTTGTAAAAAGATCAGCGTCCTCTCTTAGCCGATTTTGTACAGCTGTATTAAAGTGACTTTCGGCGACAGCTCCAGTAATCCTCCTATATGGAGCCCCTTATACAAACCATCTATTTTCAGATTCGCGATTGAACACCTCGCCATCCTGGCCGTAACAGTGTCGATCAGTTCTTCTTTCGTGCCTCCTCTATGCGCGCAAGCTCTCTGTCTATCCTCTTAAAACTCCAGCTCTGCCAGAAGGGGGATCTAAGAACTTGTATCAGCTATATGTCTGCATAGACGCAACCTACATTAACTAACAGAGGAATGGCCTTAGATCTAGAACCGGTTAGCATTTGGTCATTAGAATTCACGTTGGACAGTGGTACTACTTACCGAAGCGATTGTCATCAGGTGAGTAATCGTTGACTCTTAGGAGCACGCAGTAATATTTACTCCAATAGCCGCAGTCCAAGTGCGCTAGATTCGTTGAACTACATGGCTTACAGAACGCTTGCTCTAGAACGTATGCAATCTTGAACGGCGTGTTTCACGAAACGTTCTACCTCTCTTCTCTGAAACACCATCTTATTCAACTCGGACATGATTGCAATGCATTATTAATGATTTGCGCCACTTTTAGAATTGGAATGCTAGAATTAAGCTATTACCCAACCTGAAGTGATTATGCGGCTCTACTGAGGTTTTGTAAGCCGCCTACCCAGTCCCCGAATGGCTTCAGCCGAGCTGAAAAAAGAACAAGCGAAATAATAAGTAGTTTAACTTTCCAAGCCCTGATATCGATGCATGTGATATAATGCTTAACACCTCCCAGTATAGAAACTAATGTGTGAGAGAACTCACTTGGACACGCTAAGGTAAGCTTAAAAGCAAGCCCGTGATAGCTGGACCCTGTGTGATTGAGTGGTCTTGCCATTTTGTAAAATGCGCTACCCAGTGTGGGCCCTACAACTTTGTAAAATGTCAAAACAGAAAACATAAGAGAAGTGACATATTATTATTATTCAACGCAACATCAACTTGTTACTCAATCTTCTCAGCTACATTTGAAATGAAAAATGACGTCTCTTTCTTTCTCTCATGGTGGAAAGTAAAGCAGTTATGTATGGGTTGTATCGCATCAAAACCCAGACCTTGTTGATTATGGAGTTTTGAAGTGTATTCCAATAGTTTTGACATCCATACGTCTCTTGAAGCTGCTGAAACAACATATCTCAGCTACTCCAGATACTGTTCGCATTCTTTACAATTCGGGTTCGTACATTACTGCACTACTCATGAATCTACATGGCAGTTTAATCCAGCTGACAGTCTATGTGGTTGTGGCCATCGGCTAGTATTCTCAATATTACTTATTCATTCCTAATTAAAATTTATTTTCCTGTTAGATGTAGTCTCAAAGTAGCTGAAAGAGAAATATTGCACATGAAAATAACTTGATGCCACATTGACGTATATCTGATCAGTCTCATCCAAAACGGGTACCGGGCGTTCTCAGCTACAAATGCCACGCTGACCAGCGTGGAAGATAAATAGCTATGCAGGCATGCGATATTCTCCTAATTTTCCATCATCGCATTTGCATAATACTGACTCTAAGTCTCAATCTCTTTGTGTTATTCTACTACCAATCATAACCAACATCGTGGAGTTCAACCTCGGCAACTGGTGCGGCACTCCAGTACAACCAATTATGGCGCCTTCTGCTCAATCTACCAGGGACAGCAAGCCCGCCAGCGGGAATCGCCAGGAATTCTTCAAAATACTGAAGGAAAATGCCACCGCAAGAGACTTGAAGACTATCCCGGCGGATCCTGACATGAAAAACATCCCCTCAGACATCGACTCAATGCTACAACTTAATAGTAGTGCTCAACTTGCCGTGCCGCAATTTAGCCACACTTGCATAACGGAAAAAAAGTTCCCCTTCAAGCCTGGCCAAAAGTCTGACCCCCTTGCTCTTTGGATTGGATATTTTGGTAACATTCCACGCTGGAAAAAGGGCCAGGTAGTCCAATTTGCGGCCAAAGCAGGAGGTTATCCAACTCCAAAACATGCCATATTCGCCGCGTACAAGCTCAACATGGCCGCCAGGGAGTGGAACAATCTCGATATTGGAGTTACTTTCAAGTGGGTCACTGATATAGAGGACGCATGTTTTGTACTCGCCTATGGTGGCAACCAAGGAGGCACCTTGGCCAGTGCTTTCTTCCCTAACAACGACAACCTCAGCACGCTCTTCGTATATCAGCTGGCCTTTGACGAAAAGTTTAGCCCATACCAACACAATTTCTATCTTCATGAACTGGGCCATGTCTTGGGGTTGCGCCATGAATTCGCTTTCGAAGAGGGCGGTGCTGTGCAATTTGGACCAGCTAACTACGACTCTGTCATGAACTACAACAGAGAACACCCACCTTACATTCAGGAGTCGGATATTGTAAGCGCTAGGGCGTTTTATAACCTCAAAAGTCCATATGAAAAGTTAAATATCATCGACTGGTATCCTGATAACTAGGGGGAGGAAAGAAAAGCAACAGGAAGATGATTCACTTGGCGTTATGCAAAGGTACCTGAGATAAAATTGGTCTCAGTGATGCTTCAACACAACTCAAAAAATGCTGGTACTTTGCTATTGAACTCCAGGCGGCGTTCTAAGATTCTATTTACTCCTCGGTATTGGTTTTTGCCTCCTCGGGGTTTTCCCAATATCATGATGCAAATGCAGAGGAGCCTCTGTCGTTAATGAGCCATTTTTCTGTGCCTAATTACTCTTAATAAACAAAATAATTCAATATCAGATGGCTTTTCTCAAAGTGATAATGAAATCGAGACTCCTGGTTGTATAAATGAACAACATTACATGTAATAACTATTACGAGTTTGAACCGGGAAGCGTCGACTGTTTGTATTTACCAGTAGCAGCTTCTTTCGGTTTATGTTCTCCGCATAATGCGCATGGAAAATTTCCGACGTTTTTTATTCTATGTATGTTATGTACAAGGTGACTTCTAATCGATTTGTCCCTGAGAATCTCGTAGGTTGGATACATATAAAAAGAAATGCCGCCATCTTTGTTATTAAAGTAGATAGCTGAGCTGCGTAGCAAAGGATATCTCACACCCAATTTATGTATTTTACAATAACGAAAATTTCTGAGGTGATACACAGACCTGATAGGATTATCGGGCATGAGAATCCAAGCTATTATGCAGCGAAGATCAAAGCAAGTTTACAGCGGGATATTTGTCCAAATGCGAGTCGCGTAAGGTCTGATCAACCCCGATGACATCCGCGAGGTGCCTTGAGATGTGCCTACGGTATAGAAAATGTGTTTCAGCTATAGCTGAGCATCGCCAGCTCTTGGCTTACGATATAGGCTTGGAGATTACTCAGATGTGGAAAGCTTAGACGTGGCATTTACAGGGCAGCAGCAGCGCATTTCCAACTGGAATGTGGTTAATTTTACTATATATTAAGGTTATCATAGTCTTGTTGCAACTTAGGAGGCTAGTGTGGGTGACTGCACAAAGTTCAGACGTCCAATCCTTGTAGCCCATGCTGTGAATCATGTGGCGTTCGACGCAGCAGACAGTGAATCTTCGCTACTTGATTGAATAGAGCACTTACGGAGGCGTAAAGGATATTTTAGAACTCATATGGCAATGCATTACACATGAGGTGAGATCAATCCAAATGCAGGTGTCGGTTTCTCGATATGCTAAAGTGGCTCTCTGCGCCTGTGATCGATTCGTGACGGCGATCTCGCCGCCTTATTATCTGTCATAGTGGGAATCAGAAGGGCTACGTAGTGTGATCTTGCAATAGTGCCACAACGATGCTACTTTGCTCTCCCTAGTGGGTTTGCTTGGATCAGTCAGAAGAGAATAAGTTAGCATCGCGCAGCATGGAGATTATCCGGTCTATTGTCCGTGGAGGTTATTGGGACAATCAGTACGAGCACAGAATGCAAGCCATCTGTAACATGAACTGGTAACAATTGTTCAGCAGACCAGCAATCAACTAGACATAATTCCAGCTCATTAGCCGAAACATCAGCACGTCGAGAGACGAGCGTTGGAATATACTAACACAACATTGAATCGAATTTGTGTGTACTTACGAGTTTTCCTGCGCGTATCATGCATGGCACGCGCCCGTGCGAAGCTCGAACAGCCAGTAGGTCGGTGCGGAACAAGCAATCACAACGCTACGCGACTTCCGTTGGCTCTATCTTGTTGTTTTCGTGGCATCTCCAAGCTCAAAGTCACGCGTCCTTGCTTCTTTCTCTAAAAAGTGATCATATCCAGCTGAGGCCACTTCCGCTCTCTCTACGACTCGTATAAAAGACTGGCCCTCGCCTATACACATCACAGCCATGCAATCAATGCATTCCTCTCACGGCAAACCATTCTGGGGCGAGGCCACGTCTTATCTGAAGTATGTTTTGGAATGTTCTTATCATGCCTTGGGATCGTTATAGCTCACAGCAGCTCAAATAGCTTTTGCGAAGAGGTAGTCTTCTCCATGCCCTCTCTTGCCCAGGTGGCTGAAACGGTTAACGACCCATTGTGAAATCCTAGGATTATGTCATTACACGACACGTCACTGAGTTTATCAACACTCTCAGCAGCTTCGCTTTCGGTCCGTAGCATTGCATACGCGGCCCATGCTATCTTAGATCTCGACATTCACTAATCTAGTCATGCTGTACTGGCAGTTGTCTATGGAGTATATGGCCTGTCCAAGCCCGGCCATAATGGGCAGACCCGCGCTCGTCTACTTTCTTACGGTGGATTGATTGGCGTAGGCATTTGCTCTGCCGGCTATCATATGACTCTGAAATACCACACCCAAATGCGTACGTGGTAACACCTCTACCCAATTTTGACTCAATCTCACCTCTCCTCCAGCGGATGAATTGTCCATGCATCTTTTGACGACACCAATGGTGTATCGCCTCTTGACATTCAAGAGTAGCCCGCAGCGTACTAAACTTGTGGCCGTACTTCTTACCATCGTCTTCATAGTGGTTATGGTCACACATATGGTCATGGACGAATTCCTCCTTCATGCAACAACCTTTGGTCTTGCCGTTTATTTGATCGCAACTCGAACATTGAAGCTTATTTCCCAACAAGTGCCAGATGAGCGAATTAGGAAAAACCTCCAAAATGTCGCGCTGTTTGGCTGCTGTACGTTGCCCTAATCTCGTGAGTCGGGAACTTGAACTTACAATTTGCACAGTCAACTTCGCCTTCGGGTACTTTGTGTGGCTACTGGATGACTGGCTATGCTCGCTGCTAACTTCAATGAAGCATTCAGCTGGCCTTCCCCTGGCTTTCTTCCTCGAGCTACATGGATGGTATGCTTACTTTGAAGTTGCATTATTGCCCTGCAGTGCTGTCATGTCTAACAAAGCTCTAACAGGTGGCACATCTTTACTTGTATTGGAGGCTATGTTGGCGTGGCTCTCGTCGACGCAATAACATCAGGTGAAGTCCGTGAAGACCCGGTTCAGCATCTTGCCTGGCCCGTCCCATCTGCGGCGAGATTGTTGGCAGGTGTATATGCATCACCAAAGCACGGACAAGTCTGGTCATCGTAACTCCAGTTCACTGCGGAGTTTTGTGGGAGAAGACATGATAGATTGGTAAATAGATGGGCATTGAGATACAATAAAATAAAAGCTAGCTGCTAGTGAAAGATGAAGTTGGCGGTAAAAGGCTAATAAAAAAAATCCGCTGTAAAGGTTGCTTATTTACAGAATGGAATATTAATCAACCATAACCTGTGTTATGCAGCTGTTTGCCCTATGAGAAGAAGAAAATAACTTGTGCTATGCACAGGCCATGTTACCAGGGGGAGACTCAGGTTATTATAACAGTCGCTGTTATAAGTTACTGCACACTGTTAGTTTGAGTGCTCTATGCTATGTAGCTTTGGGTGCCTTACAAAGCAGTAATAGATGCTTTTGCATGCCTGACCAAATGAGTCGACATACATAACTGGACTGTTATCCTTCATGCAGCTAAAGTCCTGGCTGCCATTACCAGCGCTTCTGCAATGGGATTTAAGTAAGTAAAAAGTCTCTCCAAGACCAATAACGAGTTACTTACCCGACAGTCGAGAAGTCTGGCTGGTTTCGAGCATCGGTTCTGATACTCCAGTTGACACGGACACCTGTAGTAAAGGTGCAATCGCCAGATCGCTCCCAGGTTGTCAGTTGGCCGTCACTGCTTACAACGCAGTAGTTGCTTGGGGCAGGGTTGAAGTGGCAGTTAGAGTCGTCATTGCAGAACTACGAATATCAGAGTCAGAGTCCGTCGTTTGATACAGGCGATATGGCTAGTGATGAAGGAGTATACGCACAACAATGACCGAATCAGAGGCTGGATTACCATTTGCGCCCTCTCCACAGTTCACAAAGTGAAGGGAGTCACGGGCGAGAGCGCCCACGGTGAAGATAGCTAGAGTAGCAATGCTTTTGAAAAACATATTTATAGATATAGAAGCGAGCAAGAGATAGATAAGTAGTAGATGATGGGTTCGATAGAGAGATGAGATAAGGTCTGTTAAGTAGTGATGGTATTCAATTGAAGAACAAAGCGAAGAAGCACACCTATTTATACTATTTGGCTTTCTTTGCCTCATGTTGGCATACAAGGCAAGCCCGGTTAAAACCGTTGTTGGCATTGTCAACCCTTGTTGACGTTGTTAACCCTTGTTGACGTTGTTAACCCTTGTTAAGGTTATCAACCCTTGATAAATTTATCAACCCCTCATTCACTGCTTACACTGGTAAGGGGTTTGCAAAAAAATCTAAGACCGCAAAAGGAATTTATACACATGCTGTTTACGGGTAACAAAAAAATAACTGTTACATAAGATGTTAAAAGATCTGAATGTGCACGCAGACTTGCATAATAAGGATCTCTTCTATTTGAGAAAGCTTAGGAAGAAATGCAGGGACATCTCTAAAATCAAGATCAATATCTTGACTACAGAAGAATACTCTCCGAGGGAGATCTTTGCATCTTTGTCTCAGCAGGGCTGGTATGTGCCTTGAGTTAACCTGTGGTTATACCACCTGTTTTGACAGCAAGAGTATAATGCTATCTGATGAGAGTCTAAATATGCTTGCTAAGCACGGATGAGCTCTTGGTCAGCAGTGGAAATAGCGAGTGCATTAAGGTCGTCTTAGAATGGAATCTCTAAGGCAGGGGGGGCTCTGTTATTAGATTTACAGAGACAGTCTGACTGCTTTAAAATGACAGGTAAGGTGGCAGTGACTGAAGAGTCTGCTGAGAGAAGGCCAAGGATGCTTAGAAGTATGAGTATTGTGAAGCCTGTCTTGATTAGCTGTCCACTCAGTTTCTCAGGGCTGATTTTTAAGAAAAGCTTTGGACAGGGAAGTCTTCTCTCTCATTTACTTCCTGTCCGGGTCTGGTTTTATTTGATTCGTAGACACCCCATACAACCTATAAGCTCCCACTGGTGCCTCGTCAAGCCTTCAAGTTGCTCATTTATTCCTTCTATCAAAGCTTTCCTTTCCTCTAAGGCCATTTCCGGCTCTCAGTAATAACAAGGACTTTTCTCATCGTACAAAAAGTAACCATCAGGACATAAATTCAGACAATCCTTTCCGTCACTCTTGGATAGAGCTTCAAACCAACCTCTTGTCAGTCTGACGCTAAATATAGTAGCAGCGGTGGCGGTAGATCTAATCCAGCCGCCGGACTTTATTATTCATCTCAGTCGTCACAGCCATCCTAGTTAAAGATCTTCAACATCGGAATTAGTCACTTAGACCCACTGTGTATAATTTAAAACTACCCCTGTCTGTCAAGTACTAAGCTAGTAGGGAATGTGTAGATGTAGTATCGTTCAAATACCTAATATGGCTTTGTTGCTAGGGGTTAATGCAGTGTCATCCAGTCACCGCCACGCCGCGCATGCCACGTAGGAATATCCATCTTATTACCGTTCCAGGAAGTTGTGATGGATCCCCCTCGATGTCCAGCAGAGCCTCATACCATGCCAGGACATGTCTTTCATACCATGCCTTTGACGTGTAAGCTGAACTGCTCAATTTGGATTACCTAGGATATTACTCATCTACATGTATCACAGTGAAGCACAGAGATGACGCTGAGGAGAGTCATGAAAAAGTCCGAAAATGGAGAGAAGAATCCACATCTGAAAGGTCAGCGGAAAGGCCCGAGTTCAAGGCATATAAGAGTTCTGGAACTGATTGGTGTCTCTGCCTACTCGAACTGGAGGCTACCCTGAATACATGTGATTTCGGAAAACCGAAGAAGGCGGCGTGTTTTGATGGATAAGTCGCTACATATAAACCAATCAATTACACAAGACCAGAAAAAAAAAGAAAGGTTGGCAATGAGGCCAAAGGCGATCATTCGGCCTGCTTGTGAGTATTACTTGTGCGAATCTTTCGCATATAGGCAATGAGTAAACTTAATCTAGCACATAAGACCATAGGTAGAGGAGAACTCGGGGTCCCGTCAAGAGCTTCTTTGGTGTTACATGTGTTCTGTTTTTGGCATCCCAAGACTCCAAAGTTGGGAGCCACATGATTTCGTTTTTGGCGGCTAGCCAACGCCCGCGCTACGTAGCTTGTGGCATGGGGCACTACGGTTCAAATGGGAATTCGTTACGGTGCAAATAGGGGGAGTCTTGAGATTTACGTCATGGAGGCTTCTTTATAATGGCTATTAAAGAAATCATCAGTCAGCAAAACGGATTGCGTTCCTCACCTACTCTTGTGATAGGTTCTTTCTTTCTGTGCAAATGCCTCTTTGGGCATTTAGGCACCTACAAATCGGAAGCTTACCTGCTTGTCGATTTTCCGCTACTTCTAGTTCTTACAAAAGGCGCTAAATTTTACCCCTTCGTCGTTAAGCGTTGCCGATGGCCCGATTCCTTGTCACTCATAGTGTTTCTTGATACAGTCAGATCATAGCGGGAAGTTGATTGTACGTTTAAGCGGACTTGCGGTAAAATGAATACACTGGTATGGGAATGGCACTGCTGTTTTCTATCTACCCCTAGGGGGCCTCATAAGCGGGGTGTGCTGCTCCATTGACTTAAAGAGTAGGCAAGAGCGCACAATCGTGGTCAATTACCACTGCTCTTCATACTTATATATAACTGCGATCCAAGTGTCATAGCATATTGACCCTCACATCTTGATTATCATTATAGCCTTTATATTTAACTGCAAGTCTTCCAAGGCTCTGATTTTCTGAGCCATTGAAAATGGGCGCCAATGGTTCAAAGCCAGTCGATCGTAGCCAGAGAGTCAAGGTCATTGGCGCCGGCTATCCTCGAACGGGCACAACCACACTCGTCCTTGCTTGTGAGAAGCTACTCAACGGCCAAGGTCTCCATGGAGGATCTCATGGGCTAGCTCGTGAAGACGAGTATAACAGGAAATGTTACGAGCTCTACAAGTATCGACACGATAAACCCCGCGTGCTACAACTGTTGAAAGAGCTTACAGAGGGGTTTGTTGTTACAAGCGACATTCCCTTTTTCAGTTTCGTGCCTGAATTATGCGAGCTGTATCCCGATGCGCAGGTGATTTATGTAAAGAGAGATCCAAAAACCTGGTGGAGGAGTATGGGGGCCGTCGCGAGTAATGCACAGACCAAATTTTTATCCATGCTATTCTGGCCGGTTCCCGGTTGGAGATGGAGCATAGGCGTTATCAACGGCATGGCTGCGATGTATGACTGAGTTCTAAGTATTCACAGATATAGGTATTGAGAGTACTAACGTACTATAGGGAACGAGAGTCCTACAATCCAACCTCTGGCGAGATCCCAAATCCCGGTAACACTGCAACATTGGCTTTCTTTCGAACACAAGAAATGTATACTGACAACGACTTAGAATCAATGGAACGCCATATGCAGTCAGTAATTGACAGTGTCCCCAAGGATCGACTTCATATTGTACGACTGGAGGACGGATGGGCGCCATTATGCAAGATTCTCGACTGCCCTATCCCAAACGAACCGTTCCCCAAAGCTAATGATGCCGAAAACGCTGAACAAATATTTCTGAACATGGTAAAACGCTCTCTCACCATCTGGCTGTACTACATCTTGGCAGGGACTTGCTTGGCAGGCAGCGGTTGGTGGCTCTGGAAAAGTTTTGGTCACCGAGTATGAACCACTTAATTGCTGGTCGTGAAGGAGGATGACTTGATGAGTTTGGATAATTAATCTACCGTCATGGTGAAGGGACGCGCTACCCCGATGATGAGAGTGAAGAGGTCCTTTAATCGTTTCTTTATTGATAATCCTTTGTGTTTTATCATAAGATTAGATACCTTACAATTATAATGTGTATTTAACTCATCTGGTCGTCAATTCAGTACCTCCATAATCTCGCGCTTGCTACCCGCATTACACAAATCGACAAAGATATACTTGATTTATAAATATAAGTTAGGTGAGTTTCTTGTCTTAGTGAATTAAAAGGGACAACAGAGTATAAAGTAAGGATGATGCGGCAAAATGTTTCGGGAGTATTATAATCTAACCTGATACTTATTATTTACTTATATATAAGGATATTAGAAATTCATCTAGCGGAAAAGAAATCGAGTATTATTTGTGCGAATCTTTTGCATATAGACTGAATCGCCTCAATCACTAGCACATACGACCATAGGTAGAGGAGAATTCGGGGTCCCGTCTGCTCCCCCATAGACAAGCCTCTAACCGGCAGATTAGTAGTTAAGTGGGTGACCATTAGCGAACACCGGCTGTTGTATGTTTTTTGCGTTTTTTTGTAGATGCCTTCCATGGCAATTTGAGGCCCATTACCCCTAAGATCAAGCACATACGACCATATCCATTGGAAAATACGGGGTCCCGTCTGCTCCCCCAGAGTCAAGCCAATGAGAGGCAGATTAGTAGTTGAGTGGGTGACCATCAGCGAACACCGGCTGTTGTATGTTTAATCTTCTTTTTTTGCTGTTTTTTGACGCTGTAGGAGGCGAGGTTTTGAAGCATCGCAGGTTGTGTTTTGGGTGTGTCAGTCAATATGCACACATTACCCTTTTAACCGGCGGCTGCGTGCGTCAGACCAGGTCCAAATTTTTCATCCAGTTAGATCTACGGAAAATAAACTGCAAGCCAACCTTTCCACGCATACATCTATGATGCAGCCAAGGAACAAAACACGATTGCAATGATGTGGACGAACGCAACTGTTAACTATTGAGAGCAAATCAAGTACCGGGGATCAGCACATCTCGATGCGGGGGAAAGCGCTGAAGGAAGTGTTGAACAGGGATGCAAGCGCCGAAAATCACTGCTCGATTCGAATTAAGCATGGGACTTTGACTTCACTGAGCTCCTTCGTGACTTTTGCAGGCTTGGCATGGTTTTCCTTCAGTGGCTTGCGAATGATCTGGTCAACTCATCTCTTGGTCAAAGAGAAAAACCTGCAGAATAAGAAGAGAGAACAAAGAGCAATTCGAATTGCATCGAACTCAGCACCAAAAGCAATCCACCATTTTTTTCGAGGCGAAAGGTTATGTAATCCAGGCTAGCCTAAGTCGTCCACCCGAGCCTGTTCAAAGCTGTCGGCGCCACTTGCTCCATCTCAGCCTCTTGCATCTGCCGTTCTACAAAGCGACCACCTTGCAAAATCAGAAACCACAGGCCATTGCATGAGTCAATTGTTGAAATTAAAGAATACAAAATATTGTTCAATTACTGCGGTTCTAGACCATCTCCCTGCATACGAAAAGTCTTTCGCTATGCTTCCACTCGTTCCTCCTCCTCCCACACCAAAGACACCATCGTGGACCCTGAAAATTTCCTATTCGGGTAACCCAGTCAGCGGCGGCTCCATCAAGCGCCATCTCATCTAGCCTCTCCCTCTTACTTTTTACACAGCCCAATGCATCCTCTCTTGTTCCTCACTGTGAAATTGCTTCTTTATTTAGGCCCCCTGCGAGTTTCCCAACTCCGAAGATCCGGTTCTAGAACGGAGAAATACAGCTGCCTTGCCGAACCGCGATCCACTGTTTACGGTTCAAGGGTCGTGCAGCTCGTGTTGAAGCTTGCAGGAAGCTTGGCTTGATAATCCTCCCCGTACATGCTCGCTTGTTATGGGTAGATAGGCTACCGATTACGGAGCACTGTAGTCTTGGTGTGTGTGCTGCCGACGGGATATTGCTTTCTGGGAGCTGGAAAAGAGTGCGTGTTTGTATGAACACTCCCTCCCCCCTTGGAGTCTGCACTGAACATACCTACATGGAGTCAGGTAATGTGACCATGGACATGCCTGTTTCTTCTTGAGTTTCGGGGTATGTGGTGTAACACTGTCCGTAGCAATATCTCGATGCTTCAATTGTGCCCATTGACTAGGCTGCTTAGGGTATCTCAATGGATCATAGGAATCGAAGCTTCATCTGTTTAGGTACGATAGGTTTGAAATGCCAGTTCATCCAATTCAGAGAATCTGATCTCGATTGAATGGCAACAATACAATCAGGTCCTGCATATGACCCATAGACGATCGTTGCCATCAATGGAAGCCCAATCATGCCAAGCTTTACCCTATTCCAAGGTCATGGGACTGTCGTATTTGACATCAAAATGAGAGGATGCGCTCCCAGATCGAGTATACTTGCTGCCTATCTACCTCCATACCTATCCAGACTTTCCCATATTCGTTCATTCATTCCCAATCGCCCTTCAGTAAACGACTGCCGCAAAACCAAAAACACCACACACACTACGGAGAAAGTGCCTGCATCCCCCTTAGCTATTACGGATAGTAGATGCATCGGCTACCTCGTTCGGTCTGCTCCTCTCTCTCTCTGTGGGGGATCTTAAGTGGCGTCTCCGGGGGCGTTTTCGGGCGAAGGTTAGTGGCTAGCTCCTCCACAAATCGACCCCGGGAAAAGCGCCAGGGCCGCCACCCTTTCAAAAAGCCGGCTAACCGTCGCTGGTAATCCGAAGCTCGTGGTGGCACTCGCAAGCTCAACCTGCCCGCAACAGACTGCAACTTGCTTCTCCAAAAAAAAAAAAAGATGCCTCTGCCGGGTGAATTCCAATCATGTCAGCTTCGCATTTCCCAGCCTGGGAACAAATTGGGGGGCTTTCAATTTGAATCTTGTCCACGAGACTTGCCATGGCGCCCTCCCATTCAACGCCTTCGCTTCCCTTCTCCTCTGCCACCCCCCTTTCCGGAGCCGGAGGTCCTCCCCGGCCCAAGCTCTCAAGCTCCTCTCAAGCTCCTTTCAACCTCTTAATTCGTCTTTTCTTGGAGTATTGGTTGTGTTGTACTCGGGTCCCATCCGTTCTCTTGCTACCACCACTCCCCAAGCCAATTGTACACTCCCCTCCCCACCTCGTCCTCAATTTGCTTTGATGCCCTCGTGATGACCTGCGGCTTGCCACACACAACTCTTCCGTCGTCGTGATGTTGTATGTGCGTTATTGATCGTGAGTTCGGCGTAGTGTCACCTCCATTCCCCCTCACGCCACAAAGCCTTCCCCGCAGCTGGTCCGGCTGCATTGAGCTGTGCCCGTCTCCTTGTAGAGCTTAAAACCCAATTCCCATCCGCGTCCTCTTTCATGTTTCCCTCCATTCCATCTCATCTCAACAAGCTTGTCTGGCTCCTTAGCTTCACATAGTCAAAATCCAAAGCCATTGAGTATCAACTCAGCATCCATTGAGCATACAAGCCTTGTTTTCAATTCTTGTCGCTGCCACCCATAAAGTAATGTCTCGCTTTGCTCCCGCTCTCAGGCAGCTCGCCAGACAGCACCTCGCCATCTCAGCCTCTAACCGTAGTAGCGCCTTGTTAGTTACCGCTGCTCGTCGAAAAATGCATTCTTCGCCTGTCCTCCAGTCTCCTCCTCTGGAGCCCACCACTCGGCCTCACTTGCTGGCCGAGTTCAGCATGAAAGACAAAGTCGTTGTTATTAGTGGTGGTGGAAGAGGATTGGGCCTTGTCCAGGCCGAGGCGCTGCTTGAAGCAGGTGCCGTTGGTAAGCTGCATTTGACTCCTCAATCCACAATGCATTGTGCTAAACAAGATGCCCATCTCAGTCCATTGCATTGATAGACTGCCCGATCCAACTTCGGATCCCGATTCCGAGTTCGCCCGCGTTGCCAAGCGTGCCAAGGAGGAGCTCAACTCCAGCCTGAGCTATCATGAGCTCGATATTCGCAACGTGCCGGAGCTGAACAAAATCTTTGAGGGTATTGCAGATGAGAGAGGTCGCCTGGATGGCTGCCTTGTCGCTGCCGGAATCAACTACGAGACTCCGGCTCTCGATTATCCCCCTGATGAAGTCGACCGAATGATGAGCATCAACGTCTCGGGCGCCTTCATGACGGCCCAAGCTGCCGCGCGCCAGATGGTTCGGCTGAAGCAGCCCGGAAGCATCTGCATGATCGCTAGCATGAGCGGCACCATTGCCAACCGCGGCATGTTTGCCCCGTAAGTCCCCCGATTCCCGATTTCCAACATTGGTGCTTCGGAAATCTGACCAATCTGACCAATCCGTCGTATAGAGCATACAATGCCTCCAAGGCCGGTGTTATCCAGCTGGCCCGAAGCTTGGCTGCCGAGTGGGGCCAATACGGCATCCGTGTCAATACCCTCTCTCCCGGCTACATCCTGACTCAGATGCTGCTGAACCTGTTTGACGACTATCCCGAGCGAAAAGAGCAGTGGCCCAAGGAGAACATGCTTCAGCGATTCAGCGTTCCCAAGGAGTACCGCGGTGCTGCCGTCTTCCTCCTCAGCGACGCCAGCAGCTTCATGACGGGCAGCGACCTTCGCATTGACGGTGGACACGCCGCCTGGTAATCATCCAAATCAATTTCCATCATCATCCGTTGATATCGTCGAAGCATCATTGCAGATAAAATCGGTTGACCATTTGACTATGGCGTAACCTGGCGAGCGTATCGAGAGGGATAGAGGAGCATCTCCTGTAATATCTAGGTTTCTTTTATACATAATTGCTTTATGCGTGTTTGGAGTTGGGAATAGGTAGAAAATTCAATAACTCAATCGCAATGTCGACTTGGCGCATCTTTAATTTGCGGGAATGTGTGTCAAAACACCGGAAGGTCCAAGTTTGCCCAATAATCCGGGGCTGAGCCTCAGCCTTTTCTCGACATCTGCAATGGGCCATCCATTATTCAGTAGTTGGACTGCGTCAACGATGGTCCTCATGTCAGCCTGGCGGCGTCGGCCTTCGTCACGGCCCATGTTCTCGAGGTCTTCAGCAGCTATTTGCTCCAGGCGGCGCCGTGCTTCGAGCACTGACAGCGTGGTGTTTCGCTTGGCCGGTGGGAATAGCGGTCCTGGCGGTACGTCCAATGACTCGGGGGAGAGATTTGGTTTCGCAGTTGACGAGTTTGAGAGTGTGGGATTTGGTTGCACGATGCCCATCTGGTGAAGGCGTCGAGAGAAGTCGGCGGGGGCGAAATCGGGATCTGTGGCGTCGGCGCGAACAGCTGGTAACTCGGTTAGCCGGATGGTTATAATACTCAAGCATTGGTAGAATTGATCTTCTCACCATCGTCTTTTGATCCATCGCCGGGAGACGCAGGCTGCTGAGGTCTGGCCCTCGTGGTGGTAGCTTGAGGCACAGCTCCGGTAGCTCTGGTGGGATATTTGCGAGCTGCTCCGCGAGCTGCTGCTTTTGACGACGAGGCGCCCATGCTTGCTTTCTTTTTTGGTTGTGTGTTTGCTTTGCTACTATGAGCAGATATAAGAAAAGAATCGAGTGGTTGTATCGAACAATGGAAGAATTATAACGGGATCA